CCCCACAACCTCCCCCCCCTAGATAATTACAAACTGGTCTATAACCCCAGATCCCCGTCAATGTTTCCAAAGTCTTGATCATTCTCAATTGAAATCCCGTCAACCGAAGTACTACCTGGCAACTCTTACTGCCCAGTTTCCAGGGCGTTTGCCCTTTGGAGGTGTTGAGAAGCCCCACCCCTCCCTCTACGATCCTGCATTCGGAGGCTGAGGCCTGTAACTGCTCTGAGCTGCAGCGGAGTACTGGAGCTAACATCAGTCTCGGCCACTGGGCGGAAGCCACAGCTGCAACATGCTTTCAGCGACATGGACCCGACCAGGGGAGGGCCCTGTCAGTGTTCCTCAATGTCCCCGGTGCAGAGAGCAAGGCCAACTTTTGTGGGGCTACACAAACTGAAAACGCAATTTAAAAGGCGATCTAATACTGTATCATTTTCCCCCTTGGTCAGGTCCATCCAGGTCACTGGCTATGCACTGAAATCAGTTATGAACAGTTGCGTGGTTCTGCCTTGCCTGGAGTACAGAGCTGTCAGTCTCTTCATGGCCCTGTGATGGCCCCAGGAGAGCCAAGGAGACAGGGATACTTGTGGGAGGTTCAGCTGAAGAGTCTGGTCATTTATTTCTCGAGGCACCAGAAGTGAGCTTCCTTAGGTTTTCGTCAACAACTCCCTGATCTAGCTGGGAGTGGGCAGTGTCAAGAACAAGGCGAGGAAATGCAGCGCCATTTTCTCAGAACTGAGGGGGCAGGAGAGAGCAAGCAACTGACAATGAGTGCTCTCTGGGATGTCATCCTCTCTTCTTCCTTGGGATTTCTAACCTGAGTCATTTCCCATTTCCTCAAAGATGTCATTCGGTGTAAGGCAGACGTTCCTAAGACATGACTCCAGGTCTCATTTACATACAAGGTAGGAGGGCTCTTTTTCCTATTAATTGTAGTCTTAAACTTGGAAGTCTGCATGTGAGGTTTTGAAAACGTACACGTAATGGGTAGTCAGGGGCCGTACACTCTGTCTGGCAACCCGCCCTGCTGTCACTTACTTGGCTGCACCCAGATGGGTCTGTCCTGCTCCACAAGGTACTCTATGTAGCCCAGTCCTTCTCAGTTGGCAGTGTGGAAACTCATTTCACGCCAGATCTAAACTTCCTGAAACAGAAGAGCTCATTCAACAGCCCGCCAGCCCTTATTTCTTATTCCTAAAAGGAGTGGTTCTCAAACTTTACTGTACCTAAGAATCACCCAGACAGGCCCTTGGGACAAGGGAACGGTTTGACATCTTTTGCTGATGGCTAAAATGCACAACACTGCACGCTAAAAAGGGTGAGTTTTTTAGGTAGCCCATAAATTCTATCTTAATGAGATTGGAAAAATCACCTATAAAAACTCATTTAAAAACTCAATTCTGCTTCCACCTCCGACTTTCCTGTACTCAGCTTCAACGCTAGCTGACTGGAGGCCCACCCGGAGGAGTGTTGTACATCGAGAGTAAAATAAGCCCTTATTGCTTTCAATCCTGCCACAAAGAAAACGCTCATTTGATGTCGATACCTTTCCCTAGGTACTAAAAACTGTTCTGATGGCAAATCTGCCAAAGGAACCACTTGTAAAACAATAGAATCAGAATGACGTAACCACTCCAATAGCTTTCACACTGCTCACAAGCTTTTTTACCAAATATGGTTGTCTGACCAGTTCCCAACCCGGGCTGCTGAGGGAGGCTGTGCATGGCTACTCGTCAGCTATCCTTGTCTGTGGGCACAGGGGGTATTGTTGCAATGAACGCTGCCCTTTCCCCAGCCCTCGGCCCCACACCAGGCCCAGAAGGTAGCTGAGCTGCCCAGCTCAAACGGAGGACCCCTCACAAGCATTCTTCTCCAGGAGCATGGGGAGCCAGAGACCAGGGCCTCTTTCCAGTTTCCCTGCTGGGCCTCAGCCTCCCCATTTTCCCACCTAAGGCCATCTAGACCCCCCAGGTTTTGATGCCACAAACCGACCGGCCCATTGGCCACAGCAGTCCCCGAGAGCTGCACCCAGCAATGAAAATGGGCCATATCTTGAGCCCAAAACTATTTGCAAAAGCTTCCGTTCCTACATTCCCACTGAGATCAACTTACAAATGAGTATGTGAGAAGAGATTTGGTCTCAGGTTCTTGGAGTAAACCATGAAGCTTTATTTTGCAGTATGGATGGAGTAAAAAAAAAATCTCAGTATGACATTTCTTGACAACTGATTGGCTGTGCCAGGGGTTTAAAGTTTGGGGGAAAGATGCACAGACCACAAGCGAATCTTCTAAACTGTATTTGGAAATGACAAAAGTTTTACATTTAACTGTACAGAACAAAATCAGCAACCATGATCGTTGGCACTGGAATGAGTAATTCTTTAGCTGTTCAAGCAATGTCCAAACTCTAACCACACATTAGAAGACTGAATGAAAAGGCTGATGTTTTTAAATTTAAATTATTCTAAAAAGTTGGAAGTCCTAGCTAAGTCTTTCAGTCACAAAATGCAAATCCTATCTAACAGTGCCTGAGGTAGAGACTTCTGCGAGAGATCTTTCACAAAAATACAATGGAAGGAACAAAGAGAAACATTTTCCATCTTGGAAGTATACAGCCAAGTTTCTTTGCCTGGTTCAGCAGAAAGCCACCAAACCCTGAATCGCAGCACCCCTGTTTCTAAAGAGGTATGGCACTGAACTAGAACTTCCTCTTCTTTGGGCTCCTCGAGTTTGGGATACTGTAGATGACTACCTTGAGAAATATGATTATTATTTGGGGAGATGCATGAACTCAGAGAACTATGTAATGTCATTATTGAAAACAACACGACTACTACACCCTAGGAACACAGACAACTATCCTAGCACAGTCTTTTAAAACGCTCTGTGACGGATGGCCAGAGTACGTGGGGATGAGAACTCAAATCACTGTAACGGGCCCAACACTTGATGGTGATGGGATTAGTCCAGATGTATGACAGCAATCATCGCTGAAATGTTATTTCTAACTCTGTACTGTGTCGGCTCAGTTATTTAAAAGCCTGTGGGGCTCTGTTATCTTCGGGTTGCTTCATGGCATGACATGATTTTAAGATAAAAGACACATGTAGTTCTTTGGTGGCTCCGAAGAATCTGGATTTCGTTTACAAATTCCTAAACTCCAAAGCTAAAGTGGCCTTAGATAGAGTTATCTTTTGAATGCCTATTGAACCTAATACCTGGAACCTTCCGATCAAAATCACTGACACCTGCGTCTTGGACGCTAGGTGCTGTTCTTTACAGCAGAAGAGCCCTTTCATTTCCAGCAAGGCATTTCTTAATGCAGATTCAAGTGTAACAGACTCTGCCTTTCACCGAAGGCTGGCAGGCCAAAATTTTCTCACAAATGAGAGACGCTATTTTTAGAAGTAATGTCTCTTAAATGAGACAAAAAGCCTGAAGTATGGGCAAATCACAGGTACGAGTTACAGGGATACCATCCAAGTCCATCCTTGGTGTAAACCCATCAGAGTGCATTATTTTAAACCACCACTGGAGCTCCGGGGACCAGTGCCACCTCACTGCCATCGCAGTTCTTTGGCCCAGTACTTGAAGTGCCAAGCTCACGTAAGTGACCAACAGGAGTGGTCTTTGTACTTCACTGCCACCTTTGAGAGGGAAGTGGTTCTGAAACCTCGAAACGGTTCTGCCTAATTTCCTATTACAAGACCTGAGAGTCGAGGTATCTAACGTTGACTCGTCCCTCCCTGCCCATTTAAAGATAGTGTCCCTTAACAAGCACATATGGGGACGATTCCAAAATTGTGGGAACCACTTTCTGTTGGCAAAGCTCACTTTTATCTACACTCGTTAGCTGAGAAAAATACTTAGAAAACAAACTTTTTCAAATGAGCAAATATAGAAACAGGTGAAACCGAATCACGGGTAAAGACAAGGCACCTTAATACTAGGGACAATGTAATTTAAACTTTCCCTTCACATTTAAGGAATTGACACCAGCCCTTTTACCAATCTCTTCTGAATAATAGATTTTAACAAGGAAGAGCGAAGGACATCTTGCATTAGAACAAGCCAAATAGAATGTTAAGGGTCACCAACTCACAGTGTCCACTGTGCCCCGCTCCAGCCTGGGAAGCACTGAGCCCTCGTCGTCTAACTAAGGGAGGTGCACACACATCATGGCAGAGCAAGTCTTACGTGGCAATTTAAAACAGTGCCGTGATTTTGATGGGGGGTGGGGAATGGAAGGGTAGATTCAAACGCAACCTACAGACGTTTTGTAGGTTTGTAGCCAGTTTCAGAACTGGCTTAATGCTCTGTGTTTACGTCATGGACACCGCCGGAGCCCACGTCCTGAATGTCGGCCTGTAACCGTCACTGGAGCAAAATGGGTCTGGCCAACTTGTGTGTGGGAGGCTAAAAGAAAAGAACTGGGCAATCCACGGCATAAACACAACTTTAATAAGAGACTGAAAACAAAGAAAAAAGTGTGCACGTGCACATGGGCGTGTGTGGGATACCTTAAGATACTGAAGAGTCTTTCAGACAAAAGACAAAACTTCTCATGAGAACAGGCCATGAGGAAACAAACTTAAGAGGATGCTTCTGGCTCCATATGCCTTTGCCTGGTTCCTCCTGGAATTTCTGCTTGACTCTCTCCCCACCACTCTCCAGTGCTCAACCTGTGTGTGGGCACGCCCACTCTGCTCTCCTTCAGGCTCTGAGCAGGTGGATGTTAAGTGTGTGTGTGTGTCTATCTTTTATCCTTCCATTAAGACATCTATTTAAAGCTCTAGAGAGAGAAGGTGGATAGCTAAATGATAAACTGAATTTTTCTATTATTTTTGGGGTGGGGGGGAGGGTGTGGAATAAACAAAAGAAAACTGCACAAAATACCCTGTCCTCGGATTCTCGACTAATGGAGAACTGACACCTTAAAATTTAAAACAGAACCTGCTCCCCCACCCCACCCCCCGCCCCCCCGAAAAAAAAGCCTCAGTATTTCAAAGCTAGGGATGGGCTACATAGCTCTCTGGTGAACGTAAGTGAGATCCCCGCCAAGGAATGTTCCCTGGTGGCACAAATGCCCCCTTTTTAAAGTCTTACCAAGCTTTTACTCGGACACTCACGGCGGGAGTCTATATGAGCCCGGTCCAGAGCAAGGCTTTCCAACGTACTGAGTTTGAAAATGGCAACTGAGTAACCGGAGGGTCGTGTGAATACTAATTCGTCAGTGACAAACAGAAATGCCTATAGGGAGTACATGGTATCCCTCTCTTTGGCTCTATTAACAGGAAGGATCCCAGATCAGGTTGGCCTTCCAAGCAGAAACCCACACTGGCACTAGACAAAGTTTCACGGTAGATTCTTTAAAAACAAGGAATTTGGACTTAGGCTTTCTGCCATGGCAATACAAACAGCTTTGAGTATTCTTAGCCTACAAGGGAATTTTGGCATTTCTAATGTTAACATATAAAAAGAAATATCCATCATAGGCTTGGGAAACCAGAGGAGGTTTCCGGATAAGAGACTTAAGGCGAATCCAGCAGGCCCTCAACTACTCCTAACCATCCCCATCAGGGCTCCAATCCTGGAAGCTGTTACTCCAGGCCTGATTTCTTCTCTGGGAGGGAAAGTGTAGTATCAACTTTACCGAGGCTCTTCACACTGCTACCAGCTTAGGGGACTGGGAGGAGACTTTGTGTTATCAATTTCTTATAATAACACAAGTTACATATCCACCATCCAAGCACATATTGGCAATGCTTGACATTTAAAGAAACCCTGCAGTGACTCGTTTATCTCCTTTGAAAATACGAATAGGTTATCAAAACCTATTGTCAACCTAGACAACTCCCGGCACAAGATTGAGATTCAAAGATTTCACAAATGAAAGACAATCTCGACCTCATTCTCCTGTGGTCCTTCCTGCCAAGAAGAAAAGCAGATTCTTCCTCCTCGCCCTCCTTACACATCGGGACCCTTTGCTGCAACACAGGAGGCACTTGTATTAAGTGTAACATCTACTAAAACTCTAAACCCAGAGTAGAAAGTAATAACACTAGCCTAATAGGCATGACCTGTTGGGTGTATTTTTTTCCCTTTAATATAAAAGTATAACTACAGCAGTCCAATGTACAAATACAAAAAACAAAAAGTTCTCACACTTAAAAAAAATGTACCATAATACTGTACATACAAAAACTGTTCAACGGATGATTTAAATATATCTGTTCTTTTCCAGATCTGGAGGACACACGTGTAAAGTTCCGCCACTGTATTATTGCTGAGGACATGTGCCCGGGGACACTGTGTTTCCCTCTCCACCCACCACCCGCATCCCAGTCCTGCCTCCGGAGTCCCCTGAGCCAACAGCATCCCTGAAGAGAACCAGAGCCAAGTGTTTACTCAATGGAAGTCACTGCTCAGCGAGCCGCTGCTTACCATCAAGTGTGAAACGCACGCATTCCAGCCCAGCGGAGACTAGATCCAGACGGAGGTCTTTGCATCCCCTGACTTGCTGCTGGCACTGCTTTTGTTGGACCCCGCTTTGGACCCCGCTTTGGCTTTTTTCCCCCGGGGACCATGGGGGTTGTTTTGGTGAGCGTAGGCCTGAATGGCAAGATCCAAGCGTTCCTGAGCCGTTCTGATCTCCCGCTGAAGAGTCTCCAGGTCTGCGGGCAGGCTCTCCTCGTGGCTGCCGTACTGCTGCTCCTGGGCGATGTTGGCCTTGTTTTGCTTGTAGGCCATCTTAGCGTTGGACAGCTCGGTGTACTGGATTTGATCTGGTTTGACGGCAACGTTATAGCCAGGGGGAGCAGATGGTGTATTCCAAGTGAAAGGATAATTATAAGCACCCGGATCTTCCAGTTCCCTCCTTCTACTGTTTAGTGAGTCTCGAATGGTCCCAAACCCTAAGTGAAGCATCTCCCAAACGTTAAGTAGCAGGCAAAGGCCTGTCACACCATACATGATCAGAAGGAAGATGGTCTTCTCGGTAGGTCTGGAAATAAAGCAGTCTATTTTATGTGGGCAGGGACGTCTACTGCACACATAAAAGGGGTGGACTTGGAAGCCGTACAGAAAATACTGCCCTATCAGAAAACCCACCTCAAACACGGTCCTTGCCAACAACTGCAGCACATAGATTTTCATGAGTCCATCCTCCCGAATCCGGCGGCGGCCATCGTGCTTGGGCTTAGGCTGGGTCTGCTCCTTGTTTTCTTTCTCACTTTCCAACTCCATTTCTGGGTACATCATGGGGTCCTCCTCGTGGTCCTCCTCTGTTTCTTCCAGAGCCCGGTGTTGTTTCCACCGCATGGCGTAGGGTTTGCTCCGCGCTGCCTTCTTGTCCGCTTCCCCATGCTCCATTTTGGCAATCTTATGGATGGCGTAGCCCAGGTACATCACCGAGGGGGTGGCCACCAGGATGATCTGGAACACCCAGAAGCGCACATGGGACAGGGGTGCAAAAGCATCGTAGCAGACGTTCTCGCAGCCTGGCTGTTCTGTGTTGCACACAAATTTGCTTTGCTCGTCGTAGTAGATAGACTCTCCCCCTACAGCCGTCAGGACGATCCGGAAGACGATCAGAATGGTGAGCCAGATCTTCCCCACAAAGGTGGAGTGGTTGTGGATCTCCTCTAGCAAGCGGGTCAGGAAGCTCCAGCTCATGGTGATGGACTTGGTCTGCCCTGGTAGAAACGGGGAAACGGCAACACGTGTGAAGACTGCAGTCGTTGCATTTGCTATTTATGTTCTTTCTAGGAACCACTCATCTGCAGGCATAAAAACCAACTTGAAGGGGTGCCTCTTCTACCCAGCCCTGGCAAGTCCGTCACCGAGAACATAAGGGCGGAACTCCTAGTGGAAAAGGTGGCTTGTCCTGAAATGCACTTTGGAAAACCCTTCCACTTGGGAACAGGTGACAACACTGTGTTAGGAAGATGAGGAGAGAGAGCACAGTTGCAAATAACTGACAATAATGCAGAGCAAAGTCAAAAGACAGAAAGGCGCCAGGATGGCATTCCTTCTGTCCTTACACTGCGTAACATCGCAGATTCTAAAATTCTGGTTTTGCCTAAAATCCCACAGGGAAAGATGACAACAAATATAAACCTTTTACTGCATAGGAGGCTTTATTAATTATATTTCTGTATTTATTTGCAGTAGGTATTAAAAAACATTTGCTGGATTGAATTGTGAAGACATTAAATCAATCAAGAGAAGTCATTGGGAACTTTTTTCCCCCATGGAAATCATTTTGAAGTCATTTGTACTGAGACAACCCTACTAAAAGCTACCTGAATACTGCACGTAAAACCCCAAACCCGACTCTGACTCAAACGATACTTAGTTTCTCTCCTCCTCCTCTCCCCCAATTTATTCATAGGTAATTTACCAGGACCACCAAGTAAGCTTACACACATTTTACCTGTTATCCAGAATTTCTGTTACCCGGGCGTTTTCTTAGAGAACTGAGGTTTTGCTGGCAACGTTTCCAGATTCCCTCTACAGGAAGGGAGAAAAAAAGCCATAAGCTTCTTCCGACAGAAAACAAAGAATCACAAAAATGCCATTTTCTGGAACAAAGTTTTCTAGGGATCACAGGAATACATCAGGAGACAAATAAACTTGAGCCCGAACACCGTTTTCTCCCCTAAATCCACATGGTGGAGAACTATGTAAGCGTGACTTAGAGATTCTTAGGTCATTGTCAGTCTACGAAAATGTGACAGGAAGCTGAGTCACTGGTAGAAATCTGAGGCCGATGAACTATGGCACCAAACGGAAGAATCCCAGCTAGCTTGTCCCCGGTCAACGAAGGCCTTGTGAAAACCTTCCCCCTGCGCGCCCGAGCCCACACTCATCTGTGGAGCAGCCAATACGTCTCGCTGGGGCTGGAGCAGCCGGCCACTCCAGCTGTTGAGCTGAACACCCAACAGATGGCTCTCAGTCCCCAGGCCATCCTCTACGAGCAGCGGATTTACAGATTTGACTGCTCACAGAAAGCCGGAGGGAAAACACCTGGGTTTCTGCTGCGCAACGACGACTTGCAGGATTATCACTGCTCATTTCCAAGGCCATCATTTTCCACTATCCAATTTGAGTAAGCTCTGGACTAGATTTATCCACGCGATCCCAACTTTGCTGATTTACTGTTTATTAATTTAACAAGCCAGTTGGAAACAGTTGAGTGGTATGTTCTTATAGGAACTTTATTCATTTTAAGAGGGAACAAGTGGAACCATCTCCAAGCGGGCAGTAGGGCCCCTTCACCTGATTCACATTGACTGGGTTTGGTTTGGTTTTTAAAGCAAGAGGAAAACAAGTAGTGCAGACATCTATATAACATGCAGGTGATGTGACCTGGCCACACGTGTTTCCAGCCTAGCTCTCTAATTGACCTCACCACTGTCCTCTCCCTGAATAGCCAAGTTATAAAACCCCAAAATATGTAGTACCCATTCATGAGGTAAGCCATGCTTACAACACAAACCTCTGTAATTCACACCCACAAGTTCCCTGCAGGCTCAGATTTCTCCCAAACCAGCACATGGCAAGCATTTCTTCCAAAGCCTGGAATTCTATTTATCCCACGAAGCCCAAATCATAAAAGTGAAATTGCTAATGAATGAGGACTCATCTTCTAGACCAGCAGTTCTCAACCTGTGGGTTGCCACCCCTTTGGGGGTCAAACGACCCTTTCACAGGGGTCACCCGATTCATCACAGTAGCAAAATTACAGTGATGAAGTAGCAATGAAAATAATGTTATGGTTGGGGGTCACCACAACATGAGGAATTGTATTAAAAGGTCGCGGCATTAGGAAGGTTGAGAACCACTGTTCTAGACCTTCACGTCCACCACAGAACAAATGGATATCTTTTTAACTTAGTCATTGCTATGAAAGAACTTCAACAGATCCGCATAGCATACTAAACTGAAAATACAATTATTCTGAGGGATTGGTGATAAGTTCCTCAGAGCTTATGTACATTACAAAGCAGCTGTTTAACGCACCCCAATTATGGTGTGAGTACTGGTTTTCCAGGGCATATTAAGGGCCACAGGACCCTGTGCCTATACCTTGAAGCACCCCTGGACTGAGGACCCCCCACGATTGCTGCCCCTGCCCACACTATTCTACTTCTATCTGAATATGGGGCTGTTTGAATATTGGATGCACAAGGATGGTTTTGTTTTCTTCCTCCCTCTCAATGTCATTTCATTGTGAAAACGTTATTAAAGCAAACAAACAGAAAGCCCCACAATCACAGCTCCTTGAAAATATTTTTATTTCCAAAATTCCCTTTCAATTTTTGTTGATACAAACACTTTTTGAGTGTAAATTGGCACCAATTTTCAAAGCTGCTTAGTAGTGAAAAGGCTGGCTTATATCTGTTTACTATTCATATTTCTTCTTGTATAAATGGGTTTAGAAACTTAACTCAAAATGGGTGACAGGCAATTTCTTTTTATAAAGCCACACAAGCTTCCTAAAATGAATGCTTTGATCTACAGAGAACTCAGGGGCTTTTCCTCCGATCCCCACCCCTCTCATTCTGGCTCCCCCCAAGTGCCCATTCTCGCTCCCAGTGGAGTCACTGCTGGATGATGGCTGTGACCTGGGGAAACATTTTCAAATTACTCACCCCCCACCCCCACCCCCGCTTCTAGGTGGCTCATCTCCCCACCTTCCACACACTGCAGCGATCCATTAACAAATTAAGACAATGGCTTAAAATGCCAGAGAGCAAGGTTCAACCTGTGAGTGTGTGTGTGCAAATCATTTCAGGAGGAAAACTACACTGAACAGAATGGTAAGTTTTGGCTTTAACATTTCTAAGCAGAATGAGGATGGCCTCATTAAGGAAGGCAGCTCGTTACCTGCGGCACCAAGTTTCTTTCTTTTGGTCTGCTACCAAAAGCCAAAAAAACAGCCCCAGTGGCACAGTGGCTAAGAACTTGTCTGCCAATGGAAAGGCTGGCAGTTTGAACCCACAGGGGAAAGATGGGTGTGGCAGTCTGCTTCTGCATTTACAGTCTACGAAACCTTGCGGGGCAGTTCTGTGTCCTATCCGTAGATAGTTTCAGATCCCACCCCCCACCAAGAGGGCAACCCACAGGAGAATTGCACTCTTTCGATCACTGCTTTATAAATAGGTTTATTTACAGAAGCAGAGAAGTCAGAGGGCTGTGTTCTGAGTTTTAGGCTCTTGATGATATGATAACCCAAACCATTAGACTTTCCTGCTTCTACAAAAAGGAGGGGAGCCTGCTAGCTATCTACGAGCAGAAAATGACACAGGAGCACGCGACAAGCTGGTAGGGACGTGGCAAGAGGGCAACACTGGAGGCCTTTTGTACCAGGAAAGCTCCAGCTGGTTTATATGCCCGCTTACACTTAATGTCTTTGTGACTGTAGGAAGGAGAATTATTAGGCCATGAGGAATATGCATCTCCTTGGCTCTTACTGGGCGCTGTCACTCAGTTTACAAACGGCCAATGCACTGGTGACGCGGGACTATAACGTTCCACCTCAATCTTGTCAGCACTGCCACTTACGCTATTCTACTAGGTGCCAAACTGTACTTCAAAATTATGTCAGTGTGTTTTTAATACTGCAGGATATACACTTTCCCCCTTTCTAAAGTGTCTATTTCTATCCCTTTGCCACCCGGCTACTGAGATACTCTTATTAACAGTGGAAGTATTAGTAATCTGACATGAACTAGAAATACCTTCTCAGTTTATTGATGAATTTTAGGTCTATGTGCATATATTTATATGGTAAGCATTAAGGTAGCAGATGGACATTTGGCCTCTACTCAAGTACTCCCTCAACGCAAGGACATTTTGTTCTAATAATCTGGCATTCCGTGATGCTCACTTTCCTGACACGATTGCTGAAGACAAAGTGTGTGCATAAGAAAGTGTGGTGAAGAAAGCTGATGGTGCCCGGCTATCAAAAGATATAGCGTCTGGGGGTCTTTTAAAGGCTTGAAGATAACAAGCGGCCATCTAGCTGAGAAGCAACAAAGTCTACGTGGAAGAACCACACCAGTGTGTGTGATCATGAGGTGGCAAAGGGATCAGGTATCAAGACCCAGAACAAAAAAAATGTTATCAATGTGAATAAGTACAGGTGTGGAGTGGGGACCCAAAGCCCATCTGTAGGCAATTGGACATCCCCTTAAAGAAGGATCACAAGGAAGAGACGAGCGAGTGAAAGTGCAGTACAGCTCTGATAAAACACACAACTTTCCTCTAGTTCTTTAATACTTCACCCCACTGCCCCCATGACTTCAATTCTACCTTACAAATCCAGCTAGACCAGAGCAAGTACACTGGTCCTGATAAGAGCTGGAAACACAGGGATAAACCCTTCAGGACCAATAATGAGAGTAGTGATACTAGGAGGGTAAGGGAAAGGGGTAGGAGGGCAGGACAGAAAGGGGAAACCAATCACAATGATCTACATATAACCTCCTTCCAGGGAACAACAAGAAAGTGGGTAAGGGAGATGGCAGTCAGTGTAAGGCATGAAAAAAAATTGTCAAGGGTTCATGAGGGAGGGGAGGGTGGTGAAGGGGAAAAAAATGAGTTGCTGATACCAAGGGCTCAAGTAGATTTTATATATATACACACACACACACACACACACACACACACACACAAATATATATGGTGGTCATATATGTAATTTTTTTTAGTTTACATGAAAAATATCCCATATACTGAAGCAAGTCCTGTTTGCTTATATAACTTTTATTGGACAAAGATAAAATGTTCTATTTTTAGTCTATTTTCCAAATAACTGAAGTTACAAATCTTGTCATAGAAGAGTATTTTAAAAACTAGCTGGCATCAACCTGGTAAAAAATTATTTAATTCCAATTTTTTTGTAGCTGAAGAAAGTTCTACAAGTTCTCTCTTAACAAGATCAAACCAAAAAAATTAAAAAAAAAGAAGATCAAACCAAAGCAGACTATTTTTTTCTGTAAAGTAGAGTGCATCTGATTTTTGTGAAGATGAAAACACCTTATTTGGTTTATCTCAGGAGATAGATTCTATTTTTAACTCATTTAAAGACGAGGGACTGAGGTCTAGAGAGCTACTACGGCAAAAAGCGCTACTAGAACTCTGCACAGGCTGCACATGAATACGGAAAAGGGGACCCTCCTTTTCCTCTCCGGGAAGCCCGGCACAACTTTCTACTCCAATATTAGCATTTGTCTATTATGACAAAGTTAACAGTATCTATGTGTTCAGCTACATTAGTTCCTGACAGTAAAATAAAAACCCCGAGCTCACGGATGCCGAGTGGTTGCACGCGACTTAAGACCAGCGCTGCCCCTGTGGACCCCTGAGCGGTCCTCTTCACAGGAGCAGGAAGCCCTATCTTTCTCCTGTGGAGGGCTGCAGACTCTGTGGGTAGAGGACAACCTACAATCGACTACACCAAGCCCATCTTCTTAATTCCCTGTGCCTCTGGTGCCCAGTACGCCGCCCAGGACACAAAAAGCAATTAACGTGTGCTATGATGAACTTCAGATCTTGAATACATTTGCAGAACTAGAAAATGACATTAATACAACCTATTACAGGGCAGAATACAATGAAAGGCACAAAAGAAGTCTCAAACATAAAAAATACATGGAGAAGAGAAAGAGATGAATTCTTTTTTTTAATCGTTTTATTAGGGGCTTATACAACTCTTATCACAATCCATACATACATCAATTGTGGAAAGCACAT